GGGGGGGTGCAGGGGTGGACAGAGCAGAGCTTCTTGATTTGCATATCCACCAGGAGCAATTTGAGATAAGTTGGCCTTCCAAGGCTGAGCGGGGAGTCCAGATTCAGATAACAACAGTTGTTTTGGACAGGCAGACTCTGATTTCTGTCTCCCTTCAGTTCTGCTGGAACTCTTGATGGTGAATCCAACCAGCCAGATTTGTGGACATTCTGCCGGTCCGTGCTTTGTTAGCTTTCTCCAAGGTCGAATCCATCGTGCCGGCGAGTTCCAGGAGCTGCAAGTGGCCTATGATTCTCATTATTCGCGTCCAGCTTACAGTTGAGCTCACAAAGCATATGAGTCTGAGAGCTCGAAGCACAAATTAATCCTTCACATAAGGTTGGCAGCTTTACCATGGCCGAAACCGCTGCCGATGTCGTCCTAATTTGCCAATATCCTAGGTATCCGCCGATTCCAAAAAGCAGAACCTCTGCTATCATAAATCCGATAATGTACATGTCTTCTACGTCCTCCATGGACAGTACAGACAGGCGCATCATCTTCCACTGCCCCCAGGAATCAATGACGTACCCAGCAGCGTGCGTCCATTCGGGGAATAAGGACTCTCCAGCACCCTGTCTCTTGGTCAAATTTTTTTATAAATTGCATTGAGAGACCAACTGACTAGATCCATAATAATGATCTTATCCATATAATAATTTACAATTCAGAAGATGTGTAAAGAGAGGCTCAGATACACAGGACAAAGAGCAAAAGCAGGAGGAAGGCAGGAGAGGGAAGAAAAGCATCCGTCTTGTTAAGTTTAGTGCTCAGGTTATTCATTGGGGATAGCCTTTGGCAACTACCACACCAAACTTTAGCTCATATATCTGTAAAATTGACTGAATTATAGTAATTTTTGTATGGGCTGAGATTGATAAGCTGTCATGAATTGAGTTAACTCCTAAAGTATAAAAGAGATGCACGTTACTCCAGAGGAGCAACCTACATTAACCCAGATTTACATGTACTGTTTTTTGACACTGCACTTGTCAGGGACGTCATGTATTTGAATTGTTAAGAAAAGAGCAGCAAATATGTTGTGTGACCTCCAACCCATCTTGAACGCTTTAGTTGTATTTTAATGAATGCAAAGGAGCTCTCTGACAGAAAACATGTCCACGTCTAAGAACCACACCGATGATGAATTACAATTGAGAGGCCAGGTGAGCAGCAAAATAATGTGCACGACCAAGAATGCAGTTTAACAAGAAGTGCACCTAAAACAAGGCTGAAATATAAAAAAGTAGCCCACTCAAAAAACAAGTGTAAGATACAACCTTTAAATCTTATGAGAATTCAACTGCCTTTCAAAGTGTTGTGAGTTGCAACAAAAAACACAACAGTTAAGAGCCCAAGAGTTTTTTTTGGTTTGCTTACATCCTCAAAAGTGTTATGTAAAATGCAGACTTGTAAAAATTAGAAATTTGTCATATTCATGCAGCTATTTAGTAGAGCCCAACCAATATGGAAATTTTGGCCATCACCAATACCGATATTGGGAGGGCCCGGCTAATGCCGACAAATGATGTAATGGCTGGAAATTTCTGAGCTTTGTCCACCCCCAAGAATCTTAAGTAAACAACTACTTTTAATCCTGTTTCAACACTTGAAGTCTTCCACTGTTCACCATAAAGTTATCAAGTGTGTTACAAAAATACAAATAAAACAAAAAAACCACCTTTCCCTGTTCGTTGCTTCAAACAGTGAGTCGTGTACGGTGAAGTCAATTAAATAACCTCTGCTGTGGTCAGTACTTTCTTAGCAGAGAAGTAAAGATTTCAGACAAACGATGCATTTCATTGAGGACAACAAAGATAACGTTACCAACACTGATATCGTTTACCTCTACGTTAGATTTATTGTTCTGGATAAAGTTTTACAAGGCAATGGTCTATGCTAGGTTATATAAACGTTAGCTTGATAACTTGAGAGGCACGTAGTTAATGACAAGCGGGTGGGAGGATTGAAGAGAATTTATTATTGTTGATTTGTTTTACAAATCTGTTAAAATAAACTTATCAGGCTCTGTTCAGCAAAATAAGCTACACAGTATTAATCGCTGCTTCAGCTGTGCTGAAAGTGAAACCTAAAATAAACGGCCATGGCTTGAAAGTAGTCTTCATGCGCCCTCTTGTGGATGCATTTTACAATTACGGCTGTTTCCAGCGTTTTAGGGGTGAAAATTAGAAGTGCTTATATCGGCGGACAATTATCACCGATACCAATATGTCCCCAAATGGCCTAAAATATTGGCCCTACCAATATATTGGTCAGGCTCTACTAATTAGCATTGTTTGTGTCCAATGCAAACATCAGATTTAGCTTGTTTTTCCTCACTTTGTTTGGCAACTTGTCACATTTCACGATCCACCATTTCTTAGCTTTGCCGTTTTCTTTGCTCGTGAGGACTCGCTGTAGAAATAGAACATGGAGACCCTCCTGAAAACACTGACGAGAAGCAGCAGCACGCTGGTGACGAGGCAGTGGCCCACTTTCTGCACAGCACAAACACAGGAGGAAATACACTCAGATGCACACTCAACCCCACCTTTCTCTCCCATCTGTCAACATGAAATATTGATGCTCCCGCTGCTATTAGGAATCACATGCACTCCCTTTGCTCACACACACATCCACTTAATACCTCTCTGTCATGCACAGCATGCTCACACACAGCATGACACATGACTGCACACCTCCCAGCTTTTTGTCATGGGGCGAGGAAGATGCTGTCAGGGAGGAAGGATGGGGTGGAGGGAAGACAAGCTCATCTCTCAGTAAAGTGAGGAGTAACGGGGAGATGGAGGGTGTTTGTCGCTGGTCTGAAGGATCAGGGAGGTGTGCTCGCTGGTTTGATAGGCTGCTTGTTAAATGAAGACTAAGAACAGTGTGTCTGCCCTTGGGAAGCGTCCTGTAGGGAAAATACCTTGCCAGCTTCGTAGATGTTGTCCTGAAGCCAATCCTGACCTCTGACCTTCCTGTCCTGCCAGAAAAATAATGAGAGGAAAAAAAAATCTCCATCGGGTCATTAATGGGCTCACTGGGATCGGATTGAAATGCTCCGATGGAAAGATTTAAGTGGATTTTGTGAGTGGTTGCAGTTTTCATGAAATTGCTTTTTTCTTTTGGTAGAAAATCTTTTGGAGAACAAACAGGGTGACCATGAGTAACGATCCATGTTATTTATTTTTGGGTCAAGCCCACATTTAATGTTTTATGCATTGAAATCGAGAAATACAGACTACAGCAGCCAGTGATGAATAATTGACCACTAAAAGAACTTCAGACATTATGCTTTAGTTTGATTCATTAGAAAACTAATGTCCTCTTTTATTATAATAATTCCAGCTCTAGTCAAAACTGTCCTCTTGTTCACTTCAGGTCCAGTTTGTCAGGACTGTGTGGCTTCAAAACTATTAAACAATCTCCAAAAGCGATAGTCATTTTTTCAGATCACCGATGTTGTTCAGGATGATTAGAGAGGAGAAAACTACACCCTCATTGATCGGCAGTGAGTCAGCAACACCAACACACACAAGTAAAGCTGCCAGTTTGTGAAATAATTGCTTTTGTTTTTGCGCTGCAGAAGTTTTAATTGACAGTGAACACATAAAGGGCTTATCGCCATTTGCCGCGTTGTTCCTATATTTTAATTAATTGGAAAACGTTCTATATTAACCTGACCTTTTGTTGGAAAATGCAGCTAACTACAAGGGGATTTCTTTTACAGAAAATACAAAAAGAGCTCTTATCCCACCTCCACACTTGCCTCATAAATTATTCAAATTCAGGTTTTAGGCAGTTAACATTTACATTTTATAGTAAAAAGCTTTTATGTATATTTTACTTTTTTTCAACTCCAAGAGGGAGTCCGATAGCTGCAGCAATTCTGCTGTAAATCTCTTATAATATCTGCATATGTCAGCGGACATGCTTTGCAGGCGTTGCAGCTGTTTCCTGTCGTTAATCCGTCCTCCGGCGTCTCGTGCAGGTGCCTGTTTCTGCCCAGCCTGGCGCCCCACAACGCTCCCTCCAATAACACCAACGCTTCCGGGGTCAGCGACGGAGCCGTGCTGAGCGGCATGGGAACAGGTAAAATAAAAACCAGTTTGTTGTATTTGGTTACTGTAGGAGTGATCTCCAGGAATGAAAAAGGAAAATAATTTTCTGCCATGAAATCGAATAAATGTTGACAGATTCCACATCTGCCCACTGCCTTTTTTCTGTTCCTATGTTATTCATTCATACCAAACGGTTTTCAATTAAATTCAATTCAGTTTATTTATATAGCGCCAAGTCACGACAGAAGTTATCTCAGGACACTGAACAGAAACATTCATATACATAAAAATTCAATTAGTGACATTATTTATCTACGGTAGCATAGCCAGCAGATTGTGTTGAGCCTTCATTTTGTCACAGTCTCTCATCCTGAGCAAGCACAAAGGAGACCGTGGAAAGGAAAAACTCTTTTAACAGGAAGAAGCCTCCAGCAGAACCGGGCTCAGGACGAGCTGCTTCAACTGGCTGGGTTTGAGAGGACAGGAAGGAAACACTGACACAGAATGGCAGGTCCAGAATGGAGGCGAGCAGGTCCCTCTAGGAGGAAAGACAAAAAAATAATTTTAAGATGGAAATAATTACAAATATAAACTGTTCATTTGTATTCATTTGTAACTATTCATTTGATAAATTAGGTCTATTTGTCCTCTAGTAGTCTAAGCCTATAGAATAGAATAGAAACAGCCTTTATAGCAACATAGGATAAGGGATACGTCAGGAAACCAAGTTGACACTAACTATAGGATTTATAAAAAAGGAAAGTCTCAAGGACTTGCAACCCGTCCAGGGTGCACCCCGCCCCTCGCACAGTGATTGCTGGACATGGGCACCGGCGACCCCCGTGACCCAAAATGGAAGAAGTGAGTTAAAGATAATGGATGGATAGATGGATGGATGGATGAATGGATGGATGGAAATCTTAATCCCAGTCTTCAAACTGGACAATGTGTCAGCCTCACGGACAGAAACTGGAAGTTGGTTCCACAAGAGAGGAGCCTGATAACTGAAAGCGCTGCCTCCCATTCTGCTTCTGGAAACTCTAGGAACCACTAACCTGCAGTCTGAGAGCGAAGTGCTCTGTTAGTAAAATATGGATGTAAAAACAGCACAAATATTTGAGTTAAGCTCCAGTCTGTAATAGTATGACCATTAAAGCAACTGTTGGTAATATTTCTTATGATGACAAAATCTGTCTTTCACCCAAAATGTTAAATAAATAAATAAGTAAGTGGAATTCAGGAATTTAGTTTTATTTACTTTTATTCTTACCAAAACTGCTTGAATGTTTTTCATGCTTTATTTTGAAGAGTTTATAGTTCTGCCTCAAAGTCATAAAGTTTTTATTTTATTTTTTATAATTTAGTACCACTTCACAATTATGACCCTTTATAAACAATTTATTAATGCTTTACAAATTAGTAATTATTGAGTTTGTAAATACTTTATGAAAATTTAGATAATTTAAAACCACTTTACATACACTAAAGCAGGCTCATTATTTAGCAAAAAAAAAGTGCTGTACATTTTTATTATTTATTTGGGAGTGGTGGCGCAGAGGTTAGAGAAGGTGGGCCTGTGATCGTAAGATCGCTGGTTCAACTCCCAGTACCGACAACATCAAAATGTGGGTGGGAAATGGCGAAACACCCACACCTGTCTCCACCCTTATTTGCCCTACTCTAGGCCCTTGAGCAAGGCCCTTAACCCCCACCATCTGCTCCCCCGAGAGCCTTAGATGGCAGCTCTCTGCTCCACACAGAGGCTGTGGTAGCTCGGTGGTCTGTGGTTGAGTCAGGAAGGACATCCAGTGTAAAAACGATCGCCAAGTCTTCGTGCAACTTAGTTCATTGTGGCGACTCCTGAAGAAGGGAGCAGCCGAAAGAAGAATAAACAAACATTTTTACTATTTCTTCTTGGTTTAGATTTTAAATATCAAAAAGTTATCAGCACTGTCAGCGCCTGTAGTTACGACGTTTGGTTTGTCAAATAAAGTGATTTAATTTAAAAAGGAAGCAAAACAACGAACAATTAGTCACACTTTCCTGCATAAATAAAAATAAAGCATTTAATGTTACCTTAATGTTCTGAGCCTGAGGACCTGTTTGAATGTTGGAACAGTATTTTATGATAGCCAATGATTCATAAAGTCTTTACAAACTCACAAATAGCTTATTTATAAAACGATAATCTTTTTAAAGAGGCCATAAGACAACAAACGCCACCTTTTTATAATAAAATTACTGACCTCTCAGGTTGTCCTTATCTCTCTCACTAATGCAGATCTATATTTTTGTGTGTTGGGAGGTGGGGTATTTTATTTATGTTTTAATTAAACCGGAATACCTAAAAGGAAAATAAGAAGCTGGATTTATGCTTTACGTTTTTGATGATTCAGTCATTTTTATCTGTGATTGCAGAGCTAACATGATTGGTTATTTAACGTTTGTATCCATCGATGTAAAACTTTTTTCATGTGTGTTTATTTATTTATAAACAATTTATCCAAAACAATTTGTCTTTATAGATTAATTTCTTCTTAGTGCTGTCATTTAATGTTTATGATGCACAGCAAGATGCTTCAGTCTCCGCTCCTGCACCTCCATTAGTTTTCCTCGTCCACCACTTCTTACTTTATTTGCTCTCTGGGTCCTCCTCCACCTCTTTTCTCCTCGTCTTCTCCGGCTCTATTTATAGACCGTGCTCTTCTCCTCCCTCGGTTCTTGCTGTCACTCAGATATTTCTTCTTTGTGTCCTTTTCAGTTCTTATCTCAATGTCCAATTCCACCCTTTTCCTTTGTCTTCATCCCTCCTTCCTCCTGGCCATTTATCTCTGTCCTCTTACCCACCCCCTCCTTCTTGTTAATTTTTCATTCATTCGACCCATATCTGTGGATGACATCATCCGAAAGTGACTTCATTAAAAAATCATTCTGCTCAGGAGCTTTTAACAATCCTGTTTTACCAAACACCAACTTGTATACATGAAATAAACATTTTCTAAAGGAACTGTTTATCATGTGGTTCAAATAACTTCGTAGTTCTGAGGCGCAGTTCCATTAAAGTTGATTTGTTTAAAAATGCGTATGTTTCATCTTTTCCTCTCACAGGTGAGCGCTTGTTTCCTCCTCCATCTGGTCTCAGTTACTCCACCTGGTTCTGCGTGGAGCGTTTCAGCTCAGCTGTTCAGGCTCACCCGGTGCGGCTGCTGACCATCGTCCGGCGGGCCACCTCCTCGGAGCAGCACTACGTCTGCCTGGCCGTGGTGCTGTCGGCCAAAGATCGCTCTCTAACCATCTCCACCAAAGAGGAGCTGCTGCAGACCTACTGTAAGAGCAGAACTTCGTACAACCTCATTTGGTTCTTGAAGCTGATTTATTAAATAATAGATATTAGCAATAAATTACAAATATCAGTGTTGTAAAAGCTCAAGTTGGTTGTTTTCTGTGCTTCTACACGAGTGCTGTGACTCACTGTAGTTGTTTTGTGTATATTTCTGCCTCCCATTCATCAAGCAGCGGATGAGTCCAGCGAGGAAGCCTCCTTCTATGAGATCCTGCCCTGCTGTGCCCGTTTCCGCTGTGGCGAGCTGATCGCCGAGGGCCAGTGGCACCACCTGGTGCTCGTCATGAGCAAAGGCATGCTGAAAAACAGCATGGCTGCGCTCTACATTGACGGGCAGCTCATCAACACCGTCAAGGTATTATAAAATGCACAAAGACGCGTTTATGAACAGTTTCCAATCAGCCAAGTCTGAGTGGGATTGAAAGGTGTACACATATTTGTAAAAGCAATTTAACAATCAGCTTTACAGTTTGTTTGCATCTTCACACCCTAGTTAGATTGCAACAAATACCGAAAAACAAAATGGTAAACAAGAAAATGCTGTGAATGCAAAATCAGTGTTCACACAGTAATTGAGTTTTGTGTTATAATGTAAATTTCTGCTTTTTAATCTAAGGACAGTGTACAGTATGTTTATGTTTAAATAAAAACACGTGGAATAATGCAATTGTAGTACAGTACTGTGAAAAGGTAAAAAGGCCATGATGATGGATAGTGGTACTACAAAAAAGATCTCTTCACATCTTGTCCTATCAGGACACGATTTGAGGCATCAAAAAACTCCACCAGCAGCACATTTATAAACACACATTACATATGCATTTGACGGCAAGATGTTGAGATTTGTCCATGAAGCACTTCCAGACAGGCCATAGTCCTGATCAGATGTTGTTGTTCAGCCGGCAGTTCTGATAAGCCTGCACAGAAGTTCTCGGGGGCCTAGACGAAGCGCATTTTCCTTTGTTTACCCATGTCCCAGGAGAAATTTGATAGTTGGCCTGCATCCAAGGCCAAACGGGTGAGTCAGATTCAGATAAGCCACAACTGTTGATTTTCTTCAGGCAGACTGTTTTTTCTTGTCAGCTTTGAGTCCTGCTGGAACTTTCCAGATCCAAAATGGCCAGATTTATGGGCATTTCACTAATCCGTGCTATGAGCCTTCAGACATGCTGGCGAGTCCTAGAAACCACAGGTGGCCTGCGATTATCACAAATTGCCTCCACCTTACGGTTTAGCTCATAAATCAGCTGCTTTTGAGTACTTGTAGCACGAACCAAGCCTTCACACAGGCTTGGCAGTTTTGTCATGGCCGAAACTGCTGACAATTTCTTCTTCAAAAGTCGATAACATAGGGACCCGCCGATGCCAAAAAGCAGAAACCCTGCTATCGTGAATCCAATTATATAAATGTCATCAGCGTCCTCCTGAGACAGAACTGAAAGACACATCAGCTGCCCAACTCTCCACGGATCCCTGAAATATCCTGCAGCGCGAGTAGGACATGAGGGCTCTTCAGGACCGTGTCGTTTTGTTGAAAAGAGTTTGTCGATTGCATTGAAAGTCCAGCTCACCAGATCCATAATAGTATTTTTCGTTCGGAAGATGTGTACCAGGAGCTCTGAAACACACACAGCAAAAAAAGCTGTAGGAAGAGGAGAACAGGGGAGGGAGAGGAGGAAGCGTCCATCGAGAGCGATTGTAGAAAGCTATTAATTAAAGCTGCACACACTGAGGTTAGTATCACTCTAAACCACAGGTATTATTTTACTATTTAATGAGAACAGCGTTTGTGTTTTGAGTGAAAATAAGTCGTAATCAGCACCAACATGTTTGTTCGCCTAATCTGAATAAGCTAAAACAGATTTCAGCTGCATCAGCCGTGTCATACAGCCGTCTGTGATGTGGTTTGTGCTGCGGTGACTTTAGATTCCCCTGAGATCCGATGGCGCACCACAAGTCACAGTTTCCTCCCAGCAACACTGATAACGACGGTTTCATTTCCTGCTGAGGTCGACAGACAGGAAACAAGCTGCTCCTGCGTCTATTTTGGCTTCACGTAAAGACAGTTGACTTTTTTGTTTTTGTTTTGCTTTTCTGAAAAGATTTCAGCGTAGAACAAATCTCCGTGTACTCAGTTTTCACCAAATCTGTTAGAAGCAAATTTAAATATAGCTCGTGAAATAACCAAACGGATAATTAACGAATAACAACTGATGTGCGTCTTGTTCATGTTTATTTTAGTGAAAGTAACATGAACATTCTGCTCAGCGGTTGTTTGCTCAGGTCCTGCTTTCCTTCATCATCCCTCCTTATAGACGTCACTTGTTTTAACGGTGACCTCGTGTTTCTCCTCTTCTCCAGCTTCACTACATCCACAGCACTCCAGGTGGCTCCGGCTCCACCAACCCTCCTGTGTTGAGCACTGTTTACGGGTACGTCGGGACGCCACCTGCCCAGCGGCAGCTCTCGAGCCTGGTGTGGCGTCTGGGTCCCAGCCACTTCCTGGAGGAGGTTTTAACTGCCACCAGCGTGGCCGCCATCTTTGAACTGGGACCCAACTACGTGGGCAGCTTTCAGGCCGTCTACCTGCCCTGTGAGTGGTTCTTCTGTTCCTGCATCTTCTTCTGACACCTTACAATCTTTGACACTCTTTAAAATCCCTTCTTTATTTGTTTTTATATCACCAGTTTTGGCTTTTTCCTCCTTCTCCATCAGGTAAAGATGCAAAGACAGAAGTTGTGCCTGCTACTCCTGTGGCGCTGGTACCAGAAGAGAAAGTGTCTTTCAGCCTCTATGCGCTCTCTGTCTCCACTCTCACAGTCGCCAAAATCAGGAAAGTCTACAACAAGCTGGACAGCAAAGCCATCGCCAAACAGGTCAGACATACACTGCTCAGCTGAGGGGAAAATAAAGGGACTGTTGTGAAGCACAAAGGCTAAATATCACAATAAAAATAACAAACATGCAGTATGCAGAGGAGATTCTTGTTAAACAAAACGGACGTTAAATGAATTTAAACGTTTTAAATATGCGTTTTAATTCATCCAAAATAACCTCATGTGTTGGGAACATTTATAGATTTGTTTAAGTCGTTTTATTTTCTGAGTCACACTTCGTGACTTAAATTACATCGTCTGATGGATGTAATTGTCTGAAAAAGGAAATGCATTTTCCCCCAGTCACCTTGCAAATTGTGAGGACGTTTTCAGTGCAGACTTTAAGCAGAAGTTCCAGGTTTGCAGGATAAAAACAACAACATCTTTAATTACAATCACAGGTAAAAATATTAATGTAAGCAAAAACAAAGACTAATAAACGTGCAGATTTAGACCCCTAAAAATTAATTTTTTCGAAGGCCATTTGCCGTTCCTGTATGTCTGCATACATTCTCACACACACATCTGCTTTTAGAGTAAATAACCTGCAAACCAAAAGAGTTTGTTGCAGATTCCTCTCCATTCTTATCGGTGTTTCCACCTGTCAAGTTATTTCCTGTCTGCTAAGGTTCAATTTGCTGCAGCTCACAGGAAGCGGATAAGGACAGAGGTAGAGTTTGTGCTGCAGCAGAGACCAAAAGAATAAGAAAACTATTTTTTACTGAGTCAGCAGTTTCAAAAATACTACAATGTCATCGTTTGACCATTTAAAAATATAAAGGATCCTGACTGATCTGTTCTTATGCAACATAAATAAAAATCACATTACAGGCGGCTGCTTTTACTAAAATTTTAATGCCCTGTTGTCACTTTTTAAAGCTTCATAAATGTAGATTTTATTTCATTCTTTTTGTTTTTGCCTTTCAAAAAGCTCAGGTGTTAACACACGTCGCCAGCTGTCAAAACTGACAGTGGCTGAAGCAGCAGTGTCCAACAACACAAGACAAATTAGATTTTTGTGCAAATCAGACAGAGTTTAAAGCATCCGTCTTCCTCTGCTCCTCTTCAGCTCACCGTGTCCTCTCATGAAAATGCCACTCCTGTCAAGTTGGTCCATAATGCTGCCGGGCACCTCAACGGGCCAGCGCGGACCATCGGGGCTGCCGTCATCGGATATTTAGGTAAACCTAGAAAATGTCTTGAAACCCAGACATGGCTGCTGCCTGTGTAATGCTGCTGTGGTTAGTCAAATAAAGTCACACCTCTTTCTCTCTTACCCCTCCAGGTGTTCGTACATTTGTGCCCAAACCTGTTGCCACCAACCTGCAGTTCGTGGGAGGCGCTGCGGCCATCTTGGGTCTGGTTGCCATGGCTTCGGATGTAGAAGGGCTGTATGCAGCTGTCAAAGCTTTAGTGTGTGTTGTGAAAAGTAATCCTCTGGCCAGTAAGGAGATGGAGCGCATCAAAGGCTACCAGGTGGGAAACAGTGTTTAGTTTGTTTGTTTTTAAATTTCAATTAAGTTTTCAGTTATTTATGAAATGCCATTTATTCTTCATGCTCTGTACTTTCTTTGTCTGTTTACATCACTCACAGTCACATATTATAAACTAGTTTAAACTGAACCCTAAATGTGTCCCATTACAAAATCACCATGTAGGTTGAGATAACATAAAATAAAATGCATAAATTAAAATAGGTTTGTTGTGTGTGTCCCCTTGCAGCTGCTAGCTATGCTCTTAAAGAAGAAGCGCTCGCTGCTCAACAGTCACATCCTCCACCTCACCTTCTCTCTGGTGGGAACGGTCGACAGCGGCCACGAGACCTCCATCATTCCCAACTCCACGGCCTTCCAGGACCTGCTGTGTGACTTTGAGGTGAGGACTTTGGCTCAAACTTCTTGTAGTTTTATAAATCTTAACTCTTGTTCTGTTCAAACAACTCAGAGTGATGGAAAAAGAGTAAGCTGTTGGTATTTCCACATGGTTAAGTCAGGTCATCTGGATGGGTTCTTCTTTTTAAAACGTTTCGTCTTTTATCCAAAAGACTTCTTCAGTCAACAAAGAAGAATCCTTCCAGAGGACCTGACTCAACCGTGTTCGATTTATCTACCAGGATTATCGAGCATGCGGCAGGACAAGTTGTTGGTGTATTTTCTAATTCACTGACCTAAAGAACAGGAGGAGTTTTGCACAGCTGTCTGTCAAGGCAGTAGCTGATCCTAGCTTAATCACTGGGCTGCAACTATTGGAGATTAGATGAGACCTAAACAGAAAATGTTCCTGTTTTCTCTCAGTTTCAAGTCGCCAACTAGTTTCTGATAGTCACAGCCCAGTGAGATATTTGCTTCACAAGCATGTTTTTGGACTGTGGGAGGAAACTGGAGTGCACAGGGGAAACTGGTGCATGCACAGTGAGAGTATGCTAACCTCAAACAGGAAGGCCTCAGCCAGGAGTGAAACCCAGAATGTCTTACTGTGAGTTACCATCAACCTAGAGGCTTTATCCTTGTCTTTCTGCTCCTCAGGTTTGGCTTCATGCTCCCTACGAACTCCATCTGTCTCTGTTTGAACATTTTAATGAACTGCTGACTGAATCCAGGTACGCATCAACTTTTAAATTCACCCACAAATATGTTTTAACTTGGAAGAATAGCTACTTGTTTTCCTGTTGGAAAAAAGTGAATTAAATCTTTCTGTGTTGGAACAGTGAGGCGGCCAAAAATGCCAAACTGCTGAGGGAGTTTCAGCTCATCCCCAAGCTGCTGCTGACGCTGAGAGACACGTCGCTGTCGCAGCCCACTGTCGCTGCCATCAGTAACGTGCTCAGTCTGCTGCTGCAAGGCTTCCCGAACCCGTACGACCTGCTGCGGTGAGCCCACACTTGGACATTACAGAGATTTTATAAACTGCTCTTTTAGATGGTGGAACTAAACGAGTTTTCACGTCACAGGTTTGGTCAGTTCATTTCCTCCACTCTTCCCACATTTGCCGTCTGTGAGAAGTTTGTTGTCATGGAGATCAACAATGAGGAGAAGATTGACGGAGGTGAACATCAGCTGATCTGACAGCATCACTTTCCTGGATCATCTTTAGACATGACCGTGTGAGATCTAACCTCAGCTCTCTCTCCAGGTAATGATGATGATTTTGGGGGCCTCCTGTCAGCCAGCTTGATTTTACTGAGAAACCGATTGCTGGACAACCTGCTCAAGCTGCTCTTCATCACCAAAGAGAAATGTGCAGTTAATGTCCAGTAAGACATCACTCTGCTCCTACTTCTTCTAGTTCTGAAAGCTTCAAGCTTTACAACCAAATTCCCAGAGTCTCTGCTTGCGTTTCATGCCTATTTTAATAAATATTATGAACATATAATGAACAAGCTGCATCAAAATAGTTGTCATGGGGTTTAAGTCATCGTAAATTATTATTAGTTTTCACTTTAAGAAGACGGAAGCTCTGAACAGCTGTTTCAGCTTGTTTCTGTTTCTGCAGGGCATGCGAGGAGCTCGTACGAACGCTCGGCTTTGATTGGCTGCTGATGTTCATGGAGGAACATCTGCACTCCAGCACGGTGACGGTGGCCCTGCGGATCCTCGTGGTGCTGCTGTCCAACCAGTCTATCCTGAACCGCTTCAGGGAGGGCCTGTGTGGAGGAGGCTGGCTGGACCACACTGACTCTGTCCTGACCAATAAGATCGGCACCGTCCTGGGTGAGAGCACAGCTCAGGTTGGCTGCATGACTGGAACTGAATTACATCTGATGAGACTAAATCTGAAATACAGTGTCTAGGTAGGGCTGGGCGATACTAGGAAAATCTAATATCCCGATATTATTTTGCTATAACACGATACACGATATATATCATGATATTTATAAATAATCTCCAGTGTTACTTTAAACTAGTATTTAAAATTGCACTGGTGTACTTACTCTATTCAAACAGACCATTGATGTTTTTTTTAAATTTGAATACAAAATCAGAATAAGTTTTTAAATGTTTTCTTGTAACCATCAGTTGCACACAAATCATCTTCTTCAGTAATGAAATTAGTACCACCGTCTCTTACTGTGGTCAACACTATACCTTTAATAAACAAGACCTTAGCAGCAAAAAAGTACACCAAGCATGAATCCACAATGAAAAATAAACCAGCTGGCTGAAAAAAAGGTGCTCGTTAGTGCTTTTTGCATAAAAATAGTAAAATCAAAAAACCTGATGAGTCCAGATTACAAAAATAAAAGTTTAAATAGTGACTATATAATCAACTGACCCAGAACAGTCACAGGTATCAGAGTTTCTCTAAACAATTATAAATAAATAAATTTGTGGTACTGCCTCCTTTCGTGGCAATGGTTTTACGACATGTTTTGCAATTTACCACATTTTGTTTGACATCCTCCTTATAAAATCCAAACCACTGCCAGATTATTGATCCAGTGCTGTTTCTCTTCGGAACTAGTTCATCGGACTCTTCAGTTATCGTCTCATTCACCCGCTCACCTGAATCTCCCGCAGTCGCCATATTTTTTCCTCTCTCCAAATCTATATGCGCATGCTCCGCACAGCGTGCAATGCAGAAAATTTTCAGGTTGGGAGGGGGCAAGGAGTAGTGACGCATTCGTAGCGTGTTAGATAAACGAAACTCACAGTGAATTAGATGCGGACAGCTTATTATTTGAATGGCAATTTATACTCGATGGTTGCGATAGAGCCATTTTAACCATCGTAAATTGAAAAACTCGAGATACATCGAGTATATTCGATACATCGCCCAGCCTTATGTCTAGGCTAAATTTAAATTACGTCAAGGTATGTTTTTATGCAAAGATATGAGCTTTTTATTACCTCAGTTTGTGTTTTGATTCAGTCTCTAAAAGTCTCATTGTATACCCAGTCCTCTTACTGACCTGTTGCCAGTTAACCTAATTAGTTGCAAAATGCTCCTTTTATACCACTTCCTTTTTGTACCTGACCTAAGTCTTGGTCTGTTGCTGTCATAACTTTTTCCCCTTAGGCTCAAAATCTGAAATGCTTACTTTGTTCCATTGTGAATAAAATGTGGTTTTGTGAGAATATATAGTTTTATTTACATTTTATACGTCGCCACGTTTTGTTTTTAAGTTTCCCAACTTTTCAGCAGTGGTCAAAGTTTGCAGTAGTAATTTCCAGTGTAATGTTTTGTTGTAAATGAATCAGCAGACGCCTCTCCTCACTCTGGCAATGCTTTCCGTCGGAGTTGGCCTTCTTTCAGTAAACAGAAAGCTGCACAGTTCGTGTGCCGCACAGCCAAGGGTTCGTCGTCTTTTTTATTCTGCCCCTCCCTGCTGCAGTCATCGTAGGTCCTCCTGGGCTCAGCGATTTTCAGCCTTCCCACTCTTACAGCTTTTAAAAAGTAAAACACTTGTATCTGCATTGTAATCTCAGTAAATCTATCCCACCATCTTGCAGAATCTGTGGTTGCTTCAGAAAATCAGATTGTGGCCTAACAGGATGTGCAAAGAAGTCCGTAGTTTCGTTCAGATTTGGAGTTCTAGCTTGACGAACCTTTGTGTCTGCGTAGTTAAATCAGATTATTGCTGTAGTTTATTACCCAGCTCTGCTAAACCTGAACAGGAGCAACAGCTGCTTGTAGTCTCCTCAGTCAGAATGTGTTTACTGTAACAACACCTTTTATTTAAATAAGGCATTTGTAACATTTGATTTCACACATTCTTTTACTCTCTCAACTTTCTCTTTAGGCTTCAATGTGGGCCGCAGTGCTGGTGGGCGCTCAACAGTGCGAGAGATCAACAGGGACGCCTGCCATTTCCCAGGATTCCCTGTTCTGCAGACTCTGCTGCCCAAACACACCAATGTACCCGAGCTTTACTTCCTGCTCATGGCTCTTTTCCTGCAGCAGCCCGTCACCGAGCTGCCAGACAGCCTACAGGTACATGTTAGTATACCCAGTTTCCCTTTATTTTCTCTAACAACTAATGCTTTTCTCGACTGCTGCCCTTTAGAGTCTGTGGAATCAAAGTATGATGCATGTTCAGTCGTAATAAAGACAAAAAAAAATTGTTTTGCGATATAACAGAGTTTATTTCTTCAATCTTTGTTTTACCAGAAAGTCCCGTGAGATTGGCATTTTTCAGGGAGACCTGGTCAAGAGGCACACTGTTATAAAAGTTTAAATAGTTAAATGTAACATAAGGCTAGCTAATAGTAGTAAAACAAAAACTAGAAGATAAAAGTAACAAAAGGCTAGGCAAAAGTAGCAAAAACTACCGTATTTTCTGCTGTACACGTCACACCGCCCTATAAGTCGCATCAGTCCAAATATGTCTAATAAAGTGGAAAAATCTAAAATGCGTCGCTTCGCAGTATAAGTCACATCTATTATGCTTCGTCGCTGACGCGTCGTGTTTGTTACGCATCACCGCTGACAACCCAGAAATGTGGGCCGGTGTTGTGCCAAAAATTGATAGGCTGCCAAATGGCGGCTGCAGGAGCATGCGCAGGAGAACTTTAACAAGAATTTAACAAGATTAACACTTAAAAACAATTATTTGTTTGCTCGACATCATAGTAAAGGTGTGACTCAGTCTAACTTTTACTTAATAAATGCACTTCAATGGTCAAGTCAGCTGCATTTCCAAATTATTCACTGCCCCGGAGCTCCAGGAGCGTGCAGAGGGAGGAAATCAGGAAGGAGGAACGCTGCACATTTCTTCAAAAATTAAACAAGATAACCACCTAAAACAATTATTTGTTTGCTCGACATTATAGTAAAGGTGCGTCTCAGTCTATCTTTTGCTTAATTAATGCGCTTCAATGGTCAAATTAGCTGCATTTTGCCGGGGCGGAGCAGCGAAATGAAGCTGATTTGACGGTTGCTCCAGACATGATCCCGGAGCTGGATGAAGATGACATTCTGTGGCAAGCCGACTGTGTCATTAATAGCCACTTTTACCTATTACTTGACACAACGGCATGCCATGCTACTCGAGTGCCATCTAGTGGCTGAAAATGGTAGTGCTCTATATTTTCAGTCAAAATGAATGAAACCGGTCATATCTCAGCCAAAAATTGGTTTATAAATATTGGGGGGAAAAAACATAAATAAGTCGCTTCGGCGTTCTAGAATTGCGCCGCTCAAGGTGGCTGCATGTTGGAGCAGCTCTCTTACTTTCATTCCGAGATTTTGCTTTTGGAAACATAATTCCTCTTCTTCTGGATGTAAATCACATTTTTTTGGATGATTGTTTCCTCTGGTATCAGATGCTGTGCAGCTGGAAGGATTTTTACTGAAACTTTTTTAGTTTTGGACATTTGTTATGATGCGTAACCATGGCAACAAGGCAGTTTTCTACAACCAACAGCTGATTAACATCTCAAAAGCTCAAATAATATCTCAACTACAGCCCCAAATCCCAAATGAGTTGAAAAGGATGTTCTGTGGACGCATTCTCATCTACCTGCCAGCTGTGCTCGAGTGCCTGACCACTGAGATCCTGGAACTAGAAGGAAACACGGCTCGTGACAGCTGAAGGACGGGATCGTCCATAAGCACCTACAGTTGGCTGTCCGCAGCGACGAGGAGCTCGGCAGTCTGCTGGGAGGAGTGGCCATCGCTCTGGGAGTTCTGCCCGGCATTCGGGCGGTCCTACAACCCGGGGGAACCGAGAGGCCTGCCGAGTCTTGGTGGACGGATTGGACGGCATCTGCAGCCAGTTTCTTTGGATACACTGTGGAATGGACCTTTACAAGAGATCCTTCCTGTCTACAGCAATCAGCATCTATAACATCTCTTAATGAAATGAGGATAATGAGTTACAACAAAATAATTTCCCTCTGGGATTAATAAAGTTTTTTTTTTTTTTTTTGTATAAGTCGCAGGGCATGCAAATTATGCAAAAAAAAAAAAACATGACTTACAGGCCAAAAAATAGGGCAGTTAAATGTAGCTAAATATTGCACAAACAGAAGCAGAAGCAGCATACTTAAAAATATTGTCACTATTAGTCACAAGTGTTTAAATACGTTGACATAATGTTGTTGTTTTTTCTGTCTTGTAAACTAAAACAGACTTTCCTGATTTGTGAGTTGAGCGCTGGATTAATTTCTCTTTTAAAACCTCTAATTATCTGTTAAACAGCCAAAGTGCACATGACGATGCTGTTTTCAGCTCAGTTGTAGAGATATGAAGGAGCACAGGTGGCAGTTTTAATAAGCTTGTCTGTATGGGTGTAGATAACTCCACTTTGTGTGTTTGTACTCTTTAGTTTGATCTGGATTCCATCTGGACCTTCATCTTTGGGATTCCAGCCTCCAGTGGGACGGTTGTGGGCTCCATTCACAGCGTGTGCACCGAGGCGGCCTTCCTGCTGCTGGCCATGTTGCGCAGCATGCTCAATCTGGTGAGAAACCTCCACCAGCTGTGGAAAAACACAACAGCTTCTTTGTTAGTGCAACGTAACTTTTTTATTTTGAAGAAAGGAAAAGAGAGAATGTAGAGCTTCACATTTTTACCTGGAAAACACCTAAAGTAACAGCTTTTTTTTTGTCCTTTAAAAAAATAAACATTTAAAAGAAATTGAAACAGTTTGAATTATACTTGTTTTTTTTAGCACAATTAGAAATTCATGTAGTTTCTCTGTATTGTCGAGCTTTAGTAGACCTCCTGCTGATGGAGGGGTTCAGTCACTGCTGAGGGTCTTTCAGTTTTCTGAGTCGAAGACTTTGAGAATAGCCGTGACACGACTACAGAGGTTTGCTTAGACACGATGTGTCGTGTTTCTCCTTCCAGCCGTGGCAGTCGGAGGAGGAAGGCTCTTGGCTCAGGGAGTACCCGGTCACCCTCATGCAGTTCTTCAGGTATCTGTACCACAATGTTCCTGACCTCGGACCCATGTGGCACAGCCCAGAGTTCCTCTGCGCCCTGGCAGCCACCGTCTTCCCCTTCAACATCAGGCCGTACTCAGAGATGGTCAGTCTGGAGATTTAATTCTTCACCGTGAAAGAAACGTATAGAAAAAAAAAAAACTTTTTCTGGTGACATGGAATTATTAGAGACTTTTTTTTTTCTGGTCAAATTTTGTAAACCCCTTTCACTTCTATTGATTAATTATTTTTATTTCAAAAGCAAAGGCTTAAAATGCGTTTACTAAAAACATAGTTTAATGTTTAATTACTCTTACTTCTTTGCAGACATATTTCAATTACCCACTAAAAGCAGTAAAAACTGTAATTATGGTAAAATCTCATTAACCACAGGTGCTGCCTTTTTTGTGATAGCTGTTTCAAAAAGTCGTGGTTTGATAAATAAATATATTTCTCAATAAAATGTTCTAGTTGAGAACGTAGTTAATAAAAAAGTTCACTTTTAAAGAACGTTGGCAGAAACTTGGTGGAAACGGGTAAATAATAGACTGGATGAAAATAAACTATTGCATTCAGTTTTCTGTTATTGTTTGTGTGCTCTGTGACATTAAAAGCTGTATTTTATTTATTTTTTTACTTCATCACGTTCAGGTGAGCGATCTGGACGATGAAGCGGGTTCTCCCACTGAAGAGTTCAAAGCTTTTGCCGGAGACTCTGGAATGAACCGGAGCCAGTCGGAGTACTGTAACGTGGGGTCCAAAACCTCGTTGACCAACCACCCAGCCAAAAAATATGTCTTTGACTTCATGAGGGTCCTGATCATGGACAACATGTGCATGACTCCAGCCAGCAAGCAGACGCCCATCGTTGACATGCTGCTGGAGGTACGGAGGTCCACCTGGGTCAGAAGTGATGTCACGGTTTGCTTTGGGTCTGCCTTTCATTTAACGTGCGTTTAGCGCCTGATGTTTTATCTGTTGTCTTTGGTAGGCTTCTCCAGAGCGCTCCACCAGAACCCAGCAGAAGGAGTTTCAGTCCAGCATCCTGGATAGCGTCATGGAGCACCTTCTGGCTGCAGACGTCCTTCTAGGTCAGAACTTAGTCTAAAACAGCCGACCATCCGCTCCTGCGCAGCAGATACACGTTTACATCCGCTTTGCTTTAACTCACTGATTTACGATCACTTGTTTCTGATTTTCTATTCATCACCACACAAAATCTACTTTCATACTCTTATTAGTGCTTTATCTTGTTTTAATGGTAATCTGTATTTATTTTGCAAATGTAAATATTTTTATTATTTAATAGTAATAATTGTGTTCTATAACTTGTTTATGACTTGTTAACTTTTCAAAATTCCGTTTCTCCAAATGTTTTTCCAACAGGAAGACATTGAGAGCTCTTCAGCTCCTTTAAAAGCATTGTTCTCGTTTAGATCTTAGTTTGTCTTCTTATGGTGCTTTTAGAATTTAGCTACACATTTGCTCTTCTCCGTTTTTAACTGGGGTTTTGTTCATTTTAGCTTTTTGCTACAGTTTTGATCATTTTAGCTTTTTGCTACAGTTTTGATCATTTTAGCTTTTAGCTACAGTTTTGCTCATTTTAGCTTACGGTTACTGTTGTGCTAGTTGTAGTTTACCACTACTGTTTTGCAGGTTTTAGTTTAAAGCTACGCAAAGTTCATCATATAGCCACAGTCAATTTAATTTTAGCTTGTCATTACTGCTTTGTTAATTTTAGCTTTATTGCTTTAATTTAAGTTTTTATCAATCATTTTGTTAACTTTAGCTTTTAGCTACGGTTTCTCTGATTTTATCTCCTGTTCGTCTTGTTTTATCTAACATCTCGTTTTATTTTTCTTTAACTCGTAGTAGCAGTCATTCAGCACTCAGAGATCTATTTTGTCTATTTCTGTATTCATTTTGTCTTAATGCGAACTATTTGGTTTTCTGTGTAAAACATCCATCCATCCTTCCATTTTCTTCCGCTTATCCGGGGTCGGGTCGTGGGGGTAGCAGCTTAAGTACGGAGGCCCAGGCTTCCCTCTCCCCAGCCACTTGGTCCAGTTCCTCCGGGGGAATCCCGAGGCGTTCCCAGGCCAGCTGAGAAACATAGTCCCTCCAGCGTGTCCTGGGTCTTCCTCTGGGTCTCCTCCCGGTGGGACGTGTCTGGAACACCTCACCAGGGAGGCGTCCAGGAGACATCCTAACCAGATGCTCTGTAAAACAGAAGTTTGCATTTATTTCTGTGAAGGGTGTTTTATAAATTGATTCTTGAAAAATACACTCCAAAAATGCACATAATATTTGCTTTGTTTCAGCTGTAACACAATAAAATATCAAATAAAACTAAATATTCCCGTTAGTTTTGTGTTTTCAGAATCCCATTAGGTTTTGAACACAAATCCAACCCATTTGCACAAAGTCTCAGTTTTGTTTATTAAAGTGATTCTATTGAAACATTTTGAGAAATCTTCAGCGTTCAGGTGCGTCACCATGGCATTTTATAAAAGGTGTGTAACGGTTCTGTCCTGCTGCTCGTCTCCTTCCAGGTGAAGACGCCTCTCTTCCTCTCAGCGCTGGCGGCAGCTACCAGATTCTGGTCAACAATGTCTTCTACTTCAGCCAGCGGGTTGTGGACAAGCTGTGGCAGGGGATGTTTAACAAGGACTCCAAGCTGGTGGTGGACTTCATCGTGCAGCTGATAGGACAGGTCAGTAAAATTAAGAAACTACAATATTTGTGGTCTTATAAGACAGTGGATAAATTCCATGATCAAATAATAACTGTCTATTACATCTACTTCTTTTCATTAGTGTAACAAATATAGACACAATATGTCATCAAACAGCATTTATATGACCGCTAGCCTGGCTCGCTAATTTTAGCAAATAAAAACAGATTTATATTTTGTACAGTAGTCCCTCGTTTATCGCGGGAGTTTGGTTTCCAGTTCTCCCACAATAAGTGATAAACCGCCAAGTAGGGATAGTAGTACAAGTAGTAATAATAAAGTCAAAAGTCTAAGTTTCTTTGTCATGCGCACCATATGTGGTACATGTGGTGGAATGAAATTGTGTGCACAGGGTCCCAGTTACTTCCAACAAAAATATAAATTGTAAAGGAAACCGTAATAAGTTCTAAGATATTAACTAAGAAATATGCTACATTAACATTATGCTAAGCACTATATATACATATATATA